TTTTTCTTAGTACTGGAGTTTGTTTTTCTTATTGTATTTCATATTCAAGAGTTTTTCGAATTGAACAGATGTATATATATAGTACTCGATCTCTGCTATCCAAACATATAATTGAATTGAATTAATGTTGTGTAGTTTAAATACATGACTCAAAACAAAAAAGTGGTACGAGACTTTTGACGTCCACTGTATTTGGTCGACAGGAATTTTTCGGGAATTTCATCGACAATTTGGCTGAATTCTACAAATATTGGGGGAATTTTATTCCAGAAGTCGTCAAGAACTTGATTAAACAGTGTTGCTCGCGTAAAAAGACACAACGATTGACTTCTCAAAAATTCCGAAAGTTCAGATGTAGTTTCAAAAAGCAATGTAGACTCGAAACTGAATCTGAAGCATGTGACATTCTGAAATCAGAAGTGTTCTTCGAATTTTGACAAGAAAGAAAAAAACTTACCTATCATTTTACTTTTTAATTCAATGTCTCTATTCTGAAGGTGTCATACTTGAAGTAAGTGGGGTATGTGTCACTACAATCTTGCATAATGGGTGTATGTGACATACACGATCGATCGATACATGTATCAAGCACATAAAACATGATAACACGTGCAAGAGCGATACGAGCTAATACAAGTTCTTTATTAGAATAGATAAAAGCTAAATTTATTGCAATAAAGAGAAAGAATGAAAATAGACATGTTTGATATAAATCAATCCAAATATCATGTTGATTATCTACTTATGACCACTACTCGAACCATATTCGCCCTCATAAACAGTTTCGATCTCTTGAATTTTGCCCGATGGACCAAATGTATACAATGTATTGTATGTTTTGTTGTCGAACAAGACTCGAGCACGTATTGTGTTCTTGTGTTGATCGTCGAGATACTCGAGAATTTTCCATCGACCCTTCGGATAAGCTTCGTGCTCCATACTGTAGTATTCTCGAGCGCCTTGGATACCTTTATAGACGGCTTTCGAGTTTAATATTTCCTCGACATTTTCATCGAGAAAGTCATCAAGCTTATGAACATGACGTTCATTAATGGCCTCGGTGAAATGTTCGATTAAAGTTTTGTGCGCTTGACTGGATGGATGCGACATGATGACAGAGTTTACGTTTTGTTGTTAACTTCTTTTCTACGTATACCAGAAAAAGAACGGCTTGATTACTCGTCGAAATGTAACTGATGAACTATGCGCACACGTTATATATAGGCAACAACGGTCGTTTTCTTTTTTTCTCATCTAGATGGCCTTGTATAAAGAAACAGTATCGTGCGCTTGCGCTGCCGAGAAAATAAAAGTTTGCCTGAGCAGAACGCAAAAGATAAAATGGCAACACCGAGCGCTGACGATCATCTCTGCTGCTTAGTATCTCAGATTGTTTTTTCTTTCCTCCCTAACATAGCACACGATGTTATGGAAATTTTCTCGTTTATAGATCGACACCTTGAGAGATATCCTATGCTTATTGCTATTTTTGTATTGTGCGCATCAACGAAGAGGAACAAAACATAATGTCAATGAGTGTAATTTTTCTATTGCGTTCTATCATCAAATAATAGTAATAACTCTTTTTGACGTGTACGCCATGTCGTGTCATGCGTATTCGATGTGTTATGTATGATACAGAGCTATCAACACGACACTTTTCTAAGCATTCCCAGAGTTGCAGGTTCCTGAAAAGAAAAATCAGACTGAATTGTATTTTTTTTATAATTGCAACATTTTTACAGAAAAATTTAGATAGATTTCCTTCAATTTCTTTTTAGTCCTTCAACTAAAATGTGCACAGAAACTCTCGTACAACCTTTTTTCACTTTGAGTTGTGTATTAAAAATACACAATATTTATTTAATTCAATTATATTTTTGTATATCAGAGATTGAGTTTTGTATACACATACTTGTTCAATTCGAAAATTATAGGATACTTTCATGGTCAATCTACTCAGAAAAACACCACGTATTCAGAAAATTTTTCATTTTATCACTTTTTATATAGCCTTTTTCGCTGATCATTTTGGTAAAAAACATTTTGAATTTTATTCAGAAATAACGATATTATAGTCAAAATATTAAATACTGTGAAATGTTAGGTGTCTCAAAATGTTTGCAACTTAGTGTGTTTTATGAATATCTCTACAAACACAAATGATAAAATCTTGGTCTTTATTTCTAAAGATGTGTCGTGAAAAGCTCTCCAAAAACGCTGAGAACGTCCCTGTTGACTTCTTTTGACGGTGTCTTCCATGCTCAAAACGAAAAGAAAATGCATGATAATGCTACTATCCATCGTATTTGATATTATGAAAAATCTTTGAAAGATTGTTGCATTTTGCATGAATCTCGACTTAAGAACATGGTAGCAACTTGATTTTTTTCAATGGATGCTCTGTCAAAAGCTCTCTCATAAGTCGTATAAACTAATGCCTATTGCATATAAAAAATATCTTTCAAGCATTTTCATTATTATTTGATAGTTTTTTATGTCATTTTTTCTTAGTAGTCTCGTGTGTTGTTCTTATTGTATTTCATATTATGAGCCTTTCGAATGAACAAATACTGATATGCAGAGTTCAATCTTCTCTAGCCAAACATATAGTTGAATTAAATTAATGTTGTGTAGTTTTCATACACGACTGAAAACAAAGACTGATACGATACTTTCTACGTGCACTGTAGTGGGAAAATATTTTTTTTTAGAACAAACCGATGAACATATTATGAGAATAAATGAAGAAACTTCGTTAGATTATTATGAATAAAATAAGATATTGATCTATAAATAAAACTATTCTTTTTATTGACCAGTAGTTATAAAAGAGTAGCTAATGTTAAAATAAATATATCATGCTAATGTTCATAGCAAAGAAATGTTATCACGTATGCGTTTGATCATACCAGTAGAAAGAAGATTCTTTGAATAAATCATTTTTTGTAGTTTACGACCCATATTATCATTGGCATTGGAAACAGCAATATTCAATAGACAGGGTCAAGAAATGCTTGTAATGATTTTCATCAAAATAAATTTCACCAATATTTGTGAATTCATGTTTATCAGATTCTAATTGGAAATATTGTATACGAAGACGTAGATCGATAAAAAATTACACTTGCTCTAATTCGATCATCCTCTCACCATTAATCATCGTAAGTTTATTATTAACACGTAAATGTGGTGATATGACGGTGGATGGTAGAAAAAACAGTCTCAATCACACCAATCCACACACCCATTCTCTTGTTTATGGCTACGACAAAGCAGACTAAATTGTTCAATATATGAACTATTACACACTTCCTGTCTCTAACTTCTAGCAATATTACAATAAATTACGTCCATTTGAGCCATGAAAATCACAAAACATGACAGACAACAAATTATCCAATGAAAGCAATCTACTGCAAACATATCCGTAAACCTCAATGTCGAAAGCATGCTGCATTCATATAGATGACTTTCAAACAAATAAAGCAAAACGAAACCGCGTAAGTCACAAGTCAATAGGATCAATTCTAGGCCAGACCAAAACAAAATGCAACCATTGGAAATAGATACGCATTTGAATCAAAAAGAGAGTAAAATATAAGCGGCATTCTTTACGATCAAGAAGCTTCCAAGTCGAACGGAGATCGCTCTGCACTTCCGAAAAGAATAAATGCACTAGTAAAAAAGGCAACCACAATGAATTACGCTGAGAGAGTAATGCTAACCCTAGAAAATCACCCGTCTCACAACGATTGCATGTCGACAGATTACGTTTTTGAAAGTATTCTTCTTATAAATTTTTTTCAAATTAAGTTATCTAAGGCTATGTATAGTTAAAGCCACCTGATGAGACCTTTGAGAAAGGTCGCAACTAGTCGGAGTTTTCTTTTCATAATACACACCCATATCATATATTCTTGAATTTACGGCAATATCTAATATTTCTCTCTTTAATTACTCAAGTCATAGCAAAAGTAGTGGACCTTTCATCTTAATTTCATATAGACTGTTTGGAGAAATTTTCTTTTCCTATGAACAGATAGAGCGTCTTTTACTCTATCTTTCTATGCTGTTTGATCACTATCCAATTGATCTCATAATAATAATACTATCATAAAAGCTGTTTTTTTTTGTTTAACTCCAGCTGGTATCCAATAGTACATATTATCATCCATACGTGTTTTCTTTTCGTTTTTTCTTTATTCTCCTCTTCTTCTTTCTAGAAAACGCGCGGTATATTTATCTCTGTCTTCTTTTCGTATGTTCAGGTTATTTAAGTATATTTTCTCTTTTCTGTTCTGTGCTAGTGTTTCTCTTGATGAAGTTCTTTCATCTCTTTCCTTTGATTTAACCCATGATCTTTTGGAATGTTTTTCAGTGTCCAAGCTCCGGTATATATACCTGCCCCTTTAGACCAGTAGTTCAGTCTTGCACAGCTTAAACCTGTAATCACTTTGAGTTAATAAACGACTCCCAACGGATCATTTAACAAGGTTTAAGTTTTAGCACTATTCATTTGTTGTAGAGAAATAAAGAAAAATTTCGCTTTTATAGTAAAGTACGCACAGTATTTAATATCCCAACAGGAGTGGTTTATGATGAACTATATTCTGTCTGTGGTGATCAAGCTTCTTATTATACAACAGCCAAAAGATGGGCTAAATGGTTTTGTGCAGACCAGGAAGAAATTGAAAATGAAGCACGGCCTGGCAGATCTGTTACCGAAACAACATTTGAAAATATTGTACGGGTTCGCCTTCTTATCGATGATGATCCTCACATTACAATAGAAGAAATATAAGAACAAACTGGTTTAAGTCATGGCGTCGTTCAACGAATCATCACCGATCATTTAAACCTTAAAAAGGTTACCGCTCATTATATACCCAAGAACCTGACTGACCTTCAACGGGCTAAACGAGTTCGAATATGCCAACAAAATTTGACGAAATTTCAAGAAAGAACACGGCGTTTATGTGATATAATAACTGATGACGAGTCATGGTTTTATCATACACGAATTGGTCGAAGGTCATCATATGCGCAGCATGGGTGGTAAGAGGAGATCCTCCACCTACTTTAGTTCGATATAGTAAGTTTGCTCCAAGGACCTTATTTTCCATTTTTTTTCAAGTCAAATGGTCCTGTTTTCATTGGTCGTGTGGAACGGGGACAATCTATTGATTATCATTAGGGTGTGGGTGTGGGTGTGAGTGTGGGTGGGTGGGTGGGTGTGATTAATTCTGCTCTTTACACTCACAGTCGCACCCGAACCCACACCCACACCCACATCCCGTTCACCATCAGATCGTGACCCGTAGCTTCGATAGTCTCTTTCTGAAACTTCTTGCTTCTGCTAAAAAACTGAACTTGCCCCGCCCATGGATACATCCACACCTTCATCATGTCAATATGAGTTCTTTTCTTGTTGACCATTAGTTGTGTTCTGTTCTCTTATCTTGAATATTTTATTGTTACCATGTGTAGTGATTCAAAATAGAATGTGTAGATAAAAAGTATTTCAAAAGAAAAACAAAACAAAAGCAAAAGACAAAAAAAGAGAGACCAAAATCTTGTCATGATGCACTGATAAGAAAAGAATTATCTGATACACAACACACTCGTCTAACTTATCTGGCACTCGGCCAAGTCGGAAGAAACCATCAATAAAATGAACTCAGTATTATTGATTTTCATTATTTGACTTTAATGAGACCTTGTTAGGAGAATTTCTAAAATCAGACAGAATATTTTAAACATCATAAATAGAGCTAAACTGTAGACCACCAATAATGAGATTTCAAAGAAAAAAAAACTACAGACACAACTTAATTCAATACTTTATCTCATCAAATGTTCGAATTAGTTTCTCTACCCAGGGCAACAAATCAGACGCTAAGATCAGACTCAGATTCTTGTACGTTCGTGTTCGATCTTATATCAATATCTTGTATGATCATACACGATCATGCGGAAAATCGTACGAAAAATCGTAGTCTCTGATTTCTTACATCAAGAATTACAATCAGTGTCCAGCAAGAGCGATCTATAAGATCTTGCACGATCAGATTGATTTTATTTCGAAGCATTCATATAAATCCATATAAAAAAACACTGCAGTTGCATCTAAAAAACACTGATCAAAAATTTTATTTACACAAGGCACCGTGAAAACCCTTTGCTACTGAAGAAGCCCGATACAAAAACGGAATCAAGGTCCTAAAACATAAGAAACAAACCAATCAGTATGGCTAAATCGTCGTGAGCATCACTCTCTATACCATCGTGGGTACCTCTCTCTCTATATATATATACCCTCGGGGGTACTTCACCCTCTCTCCCTCTATATATATATACCCTCAGGGTACCTTACTCTCTTTATATATATACCCTCAGGGTACCTTACTCTCTTTATATATATACCCTCAGGGGTAGCTAAAACTCTCTCTATATGTACCCTTGTGGATACTTCACTCACTCTATATATGTACCCTTGTGGGTACCTCCCTCTCTCTCTAGATATATCCTCGTGGGTACCTCACTCTCTCTATATATGTACCCTCGCGGGTACCTCACTCACTCTATATATATACCCTCAGGGGTACCTCACTCTCTCTATATGTACCCTCGTGGAACTTCACTCTGTCTATATATGTACCTCGGGGGTACCTAAAACTCTCTCTATGTGTGCTCTCCTGGGTACTTCACCCTCTCTCTCTATATATATATATACCCTCAGGAGTACCTCACTCTCTCTCTCTCTTTATATATATATCCTCAGGAGTACCTCACTCTCTCTCTCTTTATATATATATCCTCAGGGGTACCTCAAACTGTCTCTATATGTACCCTCGTCGGTACTTCACCTTCTATATATATATACCCTCAGCGGTACATCACTCTCCCTACATATAAACCCTCGGGGGTACCTCAAACTGTATCCATGTGCACGCTTGTGGGTACCTCACTCTCAATATATATACCCTCGAGGTTACCTCACGCTCTGCATAGATATATACCCTGGTGGGTACCTGTTTCTGCATGTTTACGCTTATGAACGCTTTTCGTACTATATATGGGGTTGGCCAGTCTGACCGGGTACCCCAATTCTTTTTATTATCAAAGTGCATCTATAATATATCAGATAATAGTGATTTTTTTACCAGTTATAATACTTGTGTAGTGCTAACAATCTACCAAGCACAAGAGGTCTATAACATGTTCGAAATCCAAACAATCAAATATTTTCAGAAAATCTGTTGAGATTAATGAACATATTTCGTGAAGACACTTGATTATTCTGGTATCGAACATGTCATAGACCTCCTATACTCGGTAAATCGTTAACACTACACAAGTATTATAACTGGTAAAAAAATCACTATTATCTGATTTATTATAGATGCCCTTTGATAATAAAAAGAATTGGGATACCCGGCCAGACTGGCCAACCCCATATATATACGGTCGTGGATTCCACTTTTCCTATATATATGGACCATTATGGGGGTCTCATTGTCTATATAAACCCTCGTTGATATGTCGCCCGCTCTGTGTTTCTCTCGTGCTAAATTGATGTTGAGGCAAAGTTACCGAGAGTTATGTGATGATTGAAATTTTATGAAGATCGAAGATAGAGATGAATCGTCAATGCTATATATTCATATGAAGTAATATTCAGCTTCAGTTGAAATTCGGCTAAGTGTACAAAGTCGTGTTGGGCACGAGTATGTTCATTGAAAAGTTAAATGGGTTTGGAAAGATCTAGTGTTCGCTAATGCTTGTTATATTAATTTAAATTGTTGCTAGAGATGTAGGATTCGCCTGTAGTTTCAAAAAATTGAACTATGTGTAGGAAGATATTGATTTCGCCGGTGCTGGTACTAAAAATTTGGGCATGTTTAGGAAGTTGTAGAGTTTACCAGTGTATTCTTTAGAAATGTAGAGCATCAGAGGAGGTCATATAGTCCGTGATCTCACTCATTATAGTAGCTGCCAAATCAGGTACTCGACCAAAAGAAGGAAAGGGAAAAGCGAATCAAAAGCTAGTGATTACTATTATTGTTTTTGTGTGAACATGTATTCTTCTTCAAGTTTGTAGGAGTGTGTACTCGAAATGTATTATACTTATTGCAAATTGAGATGGATTGTCTTTATCGATAGTGGCTATGCGAGCTGATACACTGAAGTGATCGACAGATGGATCAATCATTTAAGACTTCACTGATGTTATAAGAATCAAATGTAATCCTGAGTTACTTACTTTAGCTTTATAAACGCTGTTATTATAATAATAAAGATTAGATTAACTACTATGATACTTTTTCACTATTTCGACTGGATAAACTATTCTAATGGATGTTTCCAGATAGAGTTATTCTTCACACTTGGTAAAAGCAATTGGTCTGTTGCAAAAGATATACCTTTCTGGTCAAGTCTTTAGAAAGAGTGTAAAGGCTCATAACACGTTAGAAAAGTGTACAGAACAACTTTCGTTCATTGCCTTATACTCTAGATCGAATAGGTTTTGACAAGTTGTATGCTGCTGCTAATCACAACTCTTACTATTTAAAGAGACAAGAAACAAAAGAATTTTTAACTTATGTATTTCTTGTTATAGCTATGCAACACTTCAACTTTGACTTTTTCTCTTCTTTGTGTGTATATGTTATAGGCAAAATTAAAATTCGGTCAAGTTTGAAATTTGCCTGACTTTTTGACAAGGCAAATTTGAAATTTGCCCGAAGAGTTCAGGCAAATTTCAAATTTGACTGAATTTTATTTTGCCCATGACATATACATGTCGTTGTATGGTAGATTAAATACACGCTGCTGTGGAAAAAAAAACAAATACTCTTAGGAATTCTAACTTCTCGAGTAGTTTAAGCAAAATCAATAGACATGCGAGTTCAGACGAAGATTCATATGCGATCTTGTATGATCATCTATGATTCATATTCTCTGAATGATAACTATTTTCTTGATGACAGAACTTATATGGTCGTGTCTGACCAGGTCCGTGTCATAATACCTGTCCTTATACGTTTCGTACGATATGATTCTTGCAAGATTTCTGCTGGCATCTTTCAATCAGAATCTGATCAAATCTTACAAAAAGTCAACTTATACGATCTTGTCGGATCCTGTAATAAGATCATATAAACAATCTTGTATGTGCAAGATCTGATAAGATCTGTGACGATCTGACGTCAGATTTTTTGACCTGGGTAACTATTGATTTTATTTCTTATGAAAAAAAAAATAAGACATAGGATATTCATTTTATTAATTGCTCATTTTTGTATAAATAATATTTCTGAATTTTTCATGTCAATAAAAGCTTCCCGGGCTTGCAAAATATGTCGTATCTCCTTGAACCTCACTGCCTTCGTAATAATGTGAGTTGTTTATGCCCGATGTATATTCTTGATCAAATTCATATGCTTCTGGTGAAGCATACACTACCTCTGGTGTATGCACTTGACCGAATTCATTAGTGTCCGATGAAATATACTCTACTGCTGGTGTATAATCTTGACCAAATTGACTGGTTTGTGGCGAAATATACACTACGCCATCTGCATAATCAGATTCATGTTCTCCATGCTCATGATGACTGTAATTATGATGTCCTTCATGTTCATGATGACTATGAGTAAGATATCCTTCATGTTCTCCGTGCTCATGCTCACCGGGATGATGATGTTCTTCATGTTCTCCGTGCTCATGATCATCGTGATGATGATGTTCTTCATGTTCTGTGTCATCGTGATAATCGTGATAATCTTGATGATTGATATAATATACAGAACATGGACAATCTTCTCTGTGTTGGCAATCATTCCATTCTGAACACGTACAATCTACCCAATGCTGATGATGATCATCAACATGAGAACTAACCGGATTTGATGTCCAGATGTATGGTGGCCGACTATATGTAGATGAGAACGACGGTGGTGTCGGTCTGTGCTTCCTAAAATGACTTTGAGAGCCAACTGGTTCATGTTTACTTGTAATGATCACCGGAAAGCGCATGATTGGCTGAACTCGATTCGTAACATTTGGTTTGAAATCCTCTCTTCGTGATAGAAAATAAGCAACTATATCTCTTTCTAAAGCTATCATACGAGTTGACATTTGAAATTTGTTGATGTGACGCTTATTTGCCAGAGAAATGATTCCTGTTCGACTATTTTTCTCAAGATCTTTTGATGGTGCAAACTGATGCCGTTTGAGAATGTCCCTAGAACAGAGTAGAATCGAAAGATAAGAGAACAGTTAAAAGCTTCAAGAACAACTACTGTTCTGTGTTCTGATTTCTCATAGACAATTACAAATATTTGAAACAGGAATATAATAATCTTTGAAAGTTTGAAGTCTGAACTTTGCTAGAAACAATAATTTAAAAATGAGAAATCATTCTTAAAAATACTCGAATATTGTGTTGAATTCGAGAATTTGGTCAAAATTTGACCATGTCTCATATCATGCAGCGTATTATGCAGTAGACAGTTGTAATATGTCATCATTTTTTCGACTTCTCCAGATTGACATAACTCAATTATCTATAGTATAAGTATTTAGGTTGTTGTCTTTGCTGATAAGTCTTTCACATGTTGATGATTACAGTATGGCATTAGATAATTTCTATTCAAAATTTCGAAATTGAGTTACCATCTTTCGATATAACCTCTATTGCTTCTACTTCCATGCCAAAAGTGCCAAATGTTGACGGGTAAATAGCCAACATTATGACCTCCTTGGGCTATCTCTGCTACACGTTCACCCCAGTTCAAAGCTAAACGTTGATAATTCTCGTTTAATCTCGTCGGAAAAGTTTCTTCGATACGATTCAATAGTGCAAAAGCAAAGTGCAAGTCACCCGAACCAAGAATAGAAAATTCGCACAATCCACCCATGTACTCGAATGCATCACGACGCATTGCCCAGGCATATCCTGGATGAGGATACCATTCTTTGTAACGTTGAGGATCAATCGGCTTGTTGTGTTTTATTGAATAAGCAAATGAATAATCCCGACGTAAAATTTCACTCTTTCCATTGGGACCAAGAAATAGAGCCAATCGAAAGAGTTGTACAATTGGATAATGCTGCAGTTCTTCAATTAGTAATTGTGCCCAATCGAGACGCTATAAATTTTGTTATAAATGCAAAAATTATAAATTAAGAATCTAGATTCTTTCACAAAATTTAGAGAAAAATTTGTGCATCAAAAAATTAATTAAGCAAGACATGTAAGTGATTTTCAGAAGAATATCCTTTTGTGAACAATGAATCCGATCACTCTGTATTATATTAATGCAAGACTTCAACTTATTTATTCAAATGGTCTCAAGCATCTTGGATAGATTCGAGTATTGTCGAGTTCGCTTCATAATAAAAATTTAGTTCGCCTGGTCCTGAAATCGAATTTACTACGACAAGAAAATGATAATCAGTCATCCTGAAAGAAATAGTTAATGTTCTATGAACTGCGTTCCGTATTCACATAGCACGACTTCCATACATTTCGGTACTACCTCCGAACTATACTGCTAACAGTTGGTAGAACAACTCCAAAAAAAACTATAAGCTCATATCCTTAATAATCAACGACTCGACAGTTCAATATCAATATTTCCTGCATAGGCTATTAAAAGTTTTTTTAAATTTTTCTCTGTCTACAGATTATGTTTATAAGTCATTAAGAATACCATAAACTCTCTTTATTTAAAGTTACTTTCTGATATTAATTGGCGCTCATATATTCCCAATGCAATTTAATACTGAAATTCTCTACAATCAGATCTGGTTTTGAGTAAGGCTACTGACAAGAGGCTGCTTTTTATTTGTTTTAAAAGTCTACAATTGCTAATTTGCACAAACTATACTTGAGTTATTAACTACGTACATCAAATTCAATATCACTATCGATCCAGGCAACGTACTGAATATGTTCAGGTAAATGATCAACGGCAATATTGATTAAATTTTCCTTCATCCATAAAATGGACGGTGCGATCAATTGTAAATGTCGAGGATTGTCAGCTTGAGTAACTTCAAATATTTGCTTTGGTAAACCGAAATGTGGTGCTGATTCAAACAAGCATTCCACAGTAAATAGTAAGACACCTGATTGAAGCATGTGTTTTTCAAAGTTTCGATATAGATTATACCGAGTTTTATATTTGACAGGATTGTAACAAACCGCAATAACTGCTAATTGTGTTAAATCATGTAATCCATCATATTCCACACTCCTGGCCATCGTTTTCAACAACAGACTTTACTATGAGACTGAAAAATGTCCGTGTAAATGATATTTATACGAGTGATTAATTCTTTCTATAACAAACAAGTGCAAAGTAACTTGAGCCTTTCATTTTTCTAGCATGTATCTCAAATAAGTTTTATGTTTTTCACCTATCGATCAGCTTTTAAAGACAAAATTGGTTGCTAACGAAGTAATATTCGCCTTTTCTCTTTCTCTTTTCTTCATGCAGCTTTGATTATTCATCTTACGTATTAGAACACATAAAAAAAATTATTCGACTTCGCAGACGAAACATAGCTTCGAATGATACTTGAGCTTCGTATTCTCAAATTTCCCTATTTAATAAAACCATCAAAGAAAAATCTTTGAAATTTTATCAATCATAACCAAACTTCACTTGTTCCTGAGAACAGAAAATGTATTTTTTTTTGGTTAAGTATAATGCAAACATTTCTTCTTTAAATCAACGATTATAAGTTGGTTTTAATTTACATTAATAAGTTAAATAGCATAAGACTAAAATGCTTCATTAACATTTTATGACATAAAAGACAAATAGCTTCATATGACAAAGTTTCATATTTGACACAAACTTTTGTTGAAGTTAGTTATTCGGGGGAAAACATCATTCAATATTATACTGTGGAAAGAATCGAATCGAAATTCATCAAAATTTTCCTTACTTTCGGAACGTTTTTAAATAAAAGTATCTTTGTAGTAAACAACTGTCTTGATATTCGTTTTTTTTTTCAGATCTCATTGCGTTCGTAGACAAAAAACTTAAGGAATGTCAGAACCTCTTGTGCTGTCGGGAGAGAAAAAAAACAGTGACTATTTAAGCTAATCTAAAGCATCATATTTAAACAATATTTTCAACAAGACTGAACTATATTCAAAGAAAAACAGTGTATTCTCTGCTTTCTGACAACTGAACGTGCATGAAAAGCAAAATACAAGAATACATCACACTGATTATAAATGATCGCTTTTCTGGGGTGGGTGTGAGTGTGGATATTGTTTTTCTTTCTTTGTTCATAACATCTACACCCTTCTTCAGAAATTAATAGAAAATTTTCATCACATAAAATACATTCAATTCAGTTTAAATCAGCACGTAAGCCTCTATTGATTTTCGCTTCGAAAAAAATCGTTTAACAACAGCATGGATCAGGATATCAACACCTGCTGTAAAATTTGATTATTTTTCAACTAATATCATAACAATAAAACTTCGATAAGATATGTTGGTCATTTCATGCTACATTAATACTAGATGAACTTTTATCTTCGATTTGATTTGTCTTCTTGATGTTCACATTGTTCTTTTTTTTTTCGTTTCTACTAATACTTAATTATCTATATCATTTCGGGTCTAGGAAAAGTTTTGTCGACAATGACTAGGATTTGGCTGTGAGTTGAATCTTCCTTTCAACTTCACACCCACACCCTAGCTATATCTCAAACATCCTCTTTGTAAAATTTGAATGAAGCTTCGAGCAACATTTCAATAAGTATTTCTTTTAGCAACCGTATGCATAAGAATCATAGATCAATAAGAATCGACTCTGGATTAATGACGTAAATCGAAATAATACTGCTGAGTATCCTACCAAAGCATCTCATAAATCGAATCGATACAATTAAATATACCCTCGATTTTTTTCCAGTTTTGTTATCCACTATGTTTGTTTTGGTTTGATTTCATCAAATATAAAGATACAATCAATTTGAGACGTTTCATAACTACATTATATTTTTGATTGGTTGTAATCATTGGATACGACAAGAAATAGTATCTCATCGATTTGTCTGGACTGATGAAAATATCGATCATATCGATTATATGTCGAAATTTATTGGTTGAATGTTTCGAATCTTTGTGAAACTTAACAAAATTTGAATGTGGCCAAATGAGTCTGAAATTGACACCGAGATGAGTTTGTAATAATGACGAAAAATACTGATTAATCGAAGTGGCTTTTATTCTACTTGTGTGAGTATTCATTATGTGCTTTGTTTTCCACTAATGTTTTATTGGTCACATGTAAACTAGTGTTTGAAGTTGAATTGTCGAAAAGATTCGATGTTTCCCCATGTCTTTCATCCCGGCAATTTCCCGTCGGGATCCCGCTCAAAAAATATCGGGATCCCGCGGGATCCCGGTAATCCCACGAAAAATGCCGGGATCCCGCCCATATGATAAAAACCGCGCGAAAATCGACGATTTATCATGCAGATTAATTGTGAGATTATATCGCGATAAAATCGTCACATTGTGGGATTTCTGGGGATTTTTTTCCCGATTTCTTCAAAAAAATCGCGATTATTCCGTGATTTTCTTCTAATCAATATAGATGGTTCCNCCCAGAAAACACTCATTTCGGGCCTATAGCTGAAGGAAAGCTAGAGTTAAAGGTTTCCATCTTGTAGAGCACAATTTACTCTTTCGAATGGTATGCCATGAAGAAAGTTACATGTTGAAATAGGCAAACACTGGATCGTAAAAACAGCTTGTTGGATAATTTTGGAAGAAGCAAAAATGGCATGATTCAATTACGTTGTCAAGAAAATATTAAAAGATCGATGGATTGACCTGAAATTTTCTATGAGCATACTAGACACTACAGACTATAATATGCCGAAAACCAGACTGTTCTAGTTTATCCAGTTTTTAAGATATACATAAAACAAAAAAAATTTACCTGCTTGTTGGATAATTTTGGTAGCCACTGTATATACCCTCGTGGTAACCTCAAACTCTCTCTACATATATACCGTCGTGGGTACCTTACTCTCTCTATATATGTACCCTCACGGGTACCTCACTCTTTCTATATATGTACTCTCGTGGATACCTTACTCTCTCTTTATATGTACCGTCACGGATACCTCACTCTTTCTATATATGTACCCTCGTGGGTACCTCACTCTCTCTTTATATATATCCTCAGGGGTACCTCAAACTCTCTCTACATATATACCCTCATGGGTACCTTACTCTCTCTATATATGTATCCTCACGGGTACCTCACTCTTTCTATATATGTACCCTCGTGGGTACTTCACCTTCTCTCTCTCTCTCTATATATATATATACCCTCGTGGGTACCTCACTCTCTCTCTATATATACCCTAAGGGGTACCTAAAACTCTCTCTATATGTACCCTCGTGGATACTTCACTCTCTCTATATATGTACCCTTGTGGGTACCTCCCTCTCTATATATATATCTTCGTGGGTACCTAAAACTCTCTCTATATGTACTCTCGTGGGTACTTCACCTTCTCTCTATATATATATGTATATATACGCTCAGGGTACCTCACTCTCCCTACATATAAACCCTCGGGGGTACATCAAGCTGTCTCCATGTACACGCTTGTGGGTACCTCACTCTCAATATATATACCCTCGAGGTCACCTCACGCTCTGCATGGATATATACCCTGGTGGGTACCTGTTTCCGCATGTTTACGCTTGTGAATGCTTTTCGTACTATATATATATCCGATGGTGAATTCCACTTTTCCTATATATATGGACCATTATGGGGGTCTCATTGTTCATATAAACCCTCATTGATATGTCGCCCGCTCTTTGTTTGTCTCGTGCTAGATTGATGTTGAGGCAAAGTAAGCGACAGTTATTTGATGATTGAAATTTTAAGAAGATCGAGGATAGAGATGAATCGTCAATGCTATATATTCATTTGAAGTAATATTCAGCTTTAGTTGAAATTCGGCTAAGTGTACAAAGTCGTGTTGGGCGCGTGTATGTTCACTGAAAAGTTAAATGGGTTTGGAAAGATCTAGTGTTCGCTAATGCTTATTATATTAATTTAAATTGTTGTTAAAGATGTAGGATTCGCCTGTAGTTTGAAAAAATTGAACTATGTGTAGGAAGATATAGATTTCGCCGATGCTGATACTAAAAACTTAGCCATGTTTAGGAAGTTGTAGAGTTTACCAGTGTATTCTTTACAAATGTACAGCATCAGAGGAGGTTATATAGTCCGCCATCTCACTCATTATAGTAGCTGGCAAATCAGGTGCGCGACCAAAAGAAGGAAAGGGAAAAGCGAATCAAAAGCTAGTGGTTACTATTGTTGTTTTTGTATGAACATGAGTTCTTCTTCAAGTTTGTAGGAGTGTGTACTCGAAATGTATTATACTTATTGCAAATTGAGATGGATTGTTTTTATCGATAATGGCTATGCGCGCTGATAGACTGAAGTGATCGACAGATGGATGAATCATTTAAGACTTCACTGATGTTATAAGAATCAAATGTAATCCTGAGTTATTTACTTTAGCTTTATAAACAGTGTTATTATAATAATAAAGAGTAGATTAACTACTATGATACTTTTTCAATATTTCTACTGGATAAACTATTCTAATGGATGTTTCCAGATAGAATTATTCTTCACACTTGGTAAAAATAATTGGTCTGTTGCAAAAAATATACCTTTCAGATCGAGTCTTTAAAAAGAATGTAAAGGCTCATAACACGTTAGAGAAGCCTACAGAACAACTTTCGTTCATTGCCTTATACTCTAGATCGAATAGGTTTTGATGAGTTGTATACTGCTACTAATCACAACTCTTAATATTTAAAGAGACAAGAAACAAAAGAATTTTTAACTTATGTAATTCTTGTTATAGCCATTCAACACTTAAATTTTGACTTTTTCTCTTGTTTATATATATATATGCTATAGGCAAAATTAAAATTCGGTGAAATTTGAAATTTGCCTGACTTTTTGACAAGGCAAATTTAAAATTTGCCCGAAGAGTTCAGGCAAATTTAAAATTTGACTGAATTTTAATTTTGCCCATGACATATACATGTCGTTGTATGGTAGATTAAA